TAAATCCTTATCAAACCTGGTTACACGTTCAGCGGCCCACACCAGTCCGAACTGCACTAACACAGACAATAAATCTCTTGGACGCAGCACTGTCCGTCCGTGCTTCACTTCGAGGCCTCTCCGCGCACACTAACCGTCGCTCGCCTCGCCGTATCCCCCCGATTTGACCGTTGGTTGCGGCGGCGGCGGCGTTACTGCGCTGATCAACTCTAGTACTTTATTTAATTTATAACTAGTGATGATTGTAATTGTTCTAATTACAGAAAAGTTCTTCTTTTCAAATATATAGTAGTGACGTTTTGGGCTATTCGCTAATGTGCGAGAAGAAAAAGAAGGTGGAATTGGTCGGAGCGAACCAGCAGTCGAAGGCGACAGCGACCTCGGAGGAGCTGCGAGGGCATGTCGGCGGCGCGAGTCCGCGCAAGAGGCAAAGCAGCGCGGCCACCATGAGCTGCAACACCAAATGCTCGTGAAACAGCGACAGGTAAAAGCGCGTGTGTGTTCCAAAATTCCTCACTAAGATACGACGCGACACGAAACGAACGCTAAAAGAGTTTGTGTGGCTCTGATCAAACCTCGCAAATTTGGGAAGAGCAATAAATACTGAATAGGATGTTTAGAAAGAGAAACAAAACTTTATTTTTTTTGTACAATGAAATCTGTGTCAAGCCCGGGAAAGAATTATACGCAACGAACTGCGTCAAGCCTTGTATTAATTTTGCAATGCATTTCGTTCCTGTATTTGGAAGGGAAATAGTATGAAATTGTAAACTGTTTATGGCAAATCAAGAACTATGTGTAATTGTATGGATGAGAAATCCACGTCTGTGATAAGTTACTGTTAAGCTATATCGGACAATTCAAATTAACTGAGTGCTCATTGAGCATTGTGATTCGTCTGAGCATTGTTGATTGGGTGCACTCCGGGATTGATTTTACTTTCTTTGTATATTACAATAGTAAATGTTTAATGTCCATTTTGGTAATCCGTTACCGTGCAAGGTGATTAATGTCAAAATTATATTTTTTAAAAAAGGATCCATAAGTTCGAATAGAGTAAATTGAAGCCAAAGTGCGTAATGCAAAGTTTAATAAAGTGAGATCAGACACGATCAAATCAAACGGATTTTTTATGAGTGTTTATTT